TATATTTTATATATAAAGTAATGTATAATATATGTTAGAATATATATTGTGTGTAGCAAATATATATTATCTATAATATAGGTCCTGTAATGTATATGTATTATATTATATATATTTGCTATATAAAATATATTTTTTATTTATATATTTTTAAGATAGTCTTACCTGTCCCAGGCTGAGTAGTAGTGTGATGACTCAGTCAGCCAGTCTCAACCCTGGGCTCAATCAGTCCTTTCGCCTCAGCCTCCCCAAGTAACTTGGGGCCACAGGTGTGGTGCTACCACATCTGGAATATACTTTGAAAGTGTTTGGTAGAGACAGAGTGTGGGTTGGTTTCCCAGGCTAAGCAATATGGCAAAACCTCAGAGTGAGACCCAATCTCTAAATAAATAATTTGAACAAACATAACTGCTAAAGTGCACACTCAGAAACCATATTCCTGATGATAATTTAAATATCTAATGGAAAGATACTCCATGTTCATTGACTGAGAGCTCAATAGATGGCAGTTATTCCTATATTAACCCCATAGATTCAATGCAATCATTATCAAATTTCAGCAGGTTTTTGAAACTGACCACACGGTGGTCCATGCCTATAATCCTTTCAGCACTTGGGAGGCCAAGGTGCAGACCACTGGTTTGCTTGAGACCAGCCTGGGCAACATGGAGAAGCCTAGGCTCTACAACAAATACAAAAATTAGCCAGGTATGGTGGCGTGCACCTGTAAGTCTGCTTACTTGGGAGGCTGAGGCAGGAGATCACTTGAACCCGGTGAGCCTGAGGCCCAGTGAGCCGTGATCATGCCACTGCTCCTCCATCCTCAGCTGCAGAGTAAGACTCCTGCCTCAAAAACAAAAAGGAAATTAAAAGGAACTCAGCTCTAAAGCGTTTATGTTTTTAAAATATTATTTGGATAGGGTCTGTCTCATACTCCAGGCTGGAAATGTCAGGCTGCACGAGGGCCTCGACCTCTGGACTCAATCCTCCCACCTCAGCTCCACGAGTGCTAGGACTACAGGTATACACTACCACTCGTGGCTAATTTTGATTTTTTTTTTTTTAAATAATGATGGATCTCACTCATGTTGCCCAGGCTGGTCTCAAACTCCTGGCCTCAAGTGATCCACCTGTCTCAGCCTCCCAAATTGCTGGGTATATAAGCGTGAATGACTTTGGCCAGCCTATAACCCCATCTGCCTGTTTCTGGGAAGACCTAATGCACCCAAAATGCCAATGCGCCTTTCAATAGACGTAATCTAAAATTGCAAATAAAAATTCAAAAGAGGGCTCAGTGGTGGTGCACGCTTATAATCCCAGCACTTTGGGAGACCGAGGCAGGTGGATCACCTGAGGTCAGGAGTTTGAGACCAGCCTGAGTAACATCACAGCCAAGATCGCCACCACTCCAGCCTGGTGACAGTGGGCGACCACCCAAAAAAAAAAAAAAAAAAAAAAAATGAGCTGGGTCTCGGTGGCCTGCCGCCTGTAACTCCCAGCGTTTGGGAGGCCGAGACGGGCGGATCACGAGGTCAGCAGATCGAGACCATCCTGGCTAACACGGTGAAACCCGTCTCTACTAAAAATACAAAAAATTAGCCGGGCGCGGTGGCCGGCACCTGTAATCCCAGCTACTCGGGAGGCTGAGGCAGGAGAAAGGCGTGAACCCGGGAGGCGGAGCTCGCAGTGAGCCAAGATCGCGCCACTGCACTCCAGCCTCCGCGACGGAGCTAGCCTGTGTCTCAAAAAAAAAAAAAAATAATAAAAGATTGAGTAGCATGATTAACACTTGTCCTAATAAAGATAAAAATTGAATCCTCAAATAACTTTTTTTTTTTTTTTTTTGGAGGAGTTCTTTTTTATGCATTCATGTAATATACTTTATTTATTTGACTTTATTTTATTTGCCTTGAGACGGAGTCTCGCCTGTCACCCAGGCTGAGGCAGTGGCACGATCTTGGCTCACTGCAAGTGCCGCCTCCCGGGTTCAGGCAGCATTCTCTCTGCCTCAGCCTCTCGGGAGTAGCTGGGACTACAGGCGCCCGCCACCACACCCAGCTAATTTTTTTCATCTCTACTAAAAATACAAAAATTTTGTACATTGAAAATACTGGCTGGCAGGGCATGGTGACTCAGGCCTGTAATCCCAGCACTTTGGGAGGCTGGGTGGGAGGATTCCTTGAGCCCAGGACTTCAAGACCAGCCTGGGCACCATAGTGAAACCTCATCTCCACCAAAAATGCAAAAATTGACCGGGCGCAGTGGCTCACGTCTGTAATCCCAGCACTTTTGGAAGCTAAAGTGGGCAGATCACCTGAGGTCAGGAGTTCAAGACCAGCCTGGCCAACATTGATGGCAAATCCTGTCTCTAAAAATACAAAAATTAGCTGGGGTGGTGGCAGGCACCTGTAATCCCAGCTACTCTCGGGAGGCTGAGGCAGAGGAGATTGCTTGAACTCCAGGAGGTGGAAGTTGCAGTGAGCTGAGATCCGCCACTGCACTCCAGCCTGGGTGATGGGAGCGAGACTCCGCCTCAAGAAAAAAAAAAAAAAAAAAGCAAAAAAATTAGCTGACTCGTGGATGGCCACCTGTAGTCCCAGCTACTGGGGGGCTGAGGAGGATGGCTTGAGCTCAAGAGGTCGGTTGCAGTGAGCCGTGTTTGTGCCACTGCACTCCAGCTTGAGTGACAAAGTGAGATCCTATCTCAAAAAAATATGTTTAAAAAATATTAAATATTTAATATGAAACCCCGTCTCTACTAAATATTACAAAAAAACTAGCCGGGCGAGGTGACGGCGCCTGTAGTCCCAGCTACTCGGGAGGCTGAGGCCGAGAATCACTTGAACCTGGGAAGGAGGCTGCAGTGAGTTGAGATCGCGCCATTGCCCTCCCAGTTCAAGGCGACAGAACGACACTCTGGCTAATTTTTGTATTTTAAAGAGAGGGATTGCCACGCTTGGCCAGGCTGGTCTTGAACTCCTGACCTCAGGTGATCCACCTGTCTCAGCCTCCCAAAGTGCTGGGATTACAGGCCTGAGCCACTACGCCAAACCCAGATCCAATATTTTAAAAGGATAATCAACATAAATGAGTTTGGGATAATTTTAGGAATGCAAGATAGTATTACATGAAAATCAGACGATGTAAAGTATTCATTAGTGCAACAAAGGAAGGATAAATGAATGTAATTATCTCAGTGCGGAGAGCTGAAAACATTCAAATCTATTAAACACCAAAATTTTAGCAAAAACAGGAATACAGAACTCCTTAAACTGACAGAGTACCTACAAACTTTTCAGCCCACATCATACTTATATAAGTGAAATGGTAGCTGTACAGTGCCTCAAGTACCTGTAATCCCAAATAATTTTTAGGCCGAGGTGAGCAGATCGCTTGAGCTCAGGAGTTTGAGACCAGTCATAGAAGATGGTGAAATCCCCATAAGCACAAAATACAAATTAGGCCAGTGTGGTGGCCCATGCCTGTAAGTGCAGCCATGAGCTGAGGAGGATTGCTTCAGCCCAAGAGGTTGAGGTTGCAGTGAGCCAAGATTGCACCACTGCACTCCAGCCTGGGCAAGAGAGTGAGACCCTTGCCCTAAATAACAAATAAGACTAAAATAAATGTAAATTACAAAGAGCTCAGAATAGACAAGAGAGTCTCAGATTTTATTTTATTTTCGAGACGGAGTCTTGATCTGGTCACTCAGGATTATGCAGTGGTGCTATCTCAGCTCACTGCAATCTCCACTTCCTCCCCGGGTTCAAGTGATTCTCCTGCCTCAGCCTCCGAGGCTGGGATTACAGGTGCCAACCACTACATGCCTAACTAATTTTTGTATTTTTAGTAGAGACGGTTTCACTATGTTGCTGGTCTTAGAACTCTCGACCAGGTGGTCCACCTGAGCTTCAGTCTCCCAGAGTGCTGGGATTACTAGCCTGAGCCACCGCGCCTGGCTTTTTTTTTTTTTTTTTTTTTTGAGACAGGGTCTCGCTCTGTCACCAGACAGGAGTGCAGTAGGTGATCACAGGGTCACTGTAGCCTCGACTTTTGGGCCCAAGCAATCCTCCCACCTCAGCCTCCAGTTGGGACTACAGATGTGAGCTGCCTGGCTTTTTGAAAAATTATTTTATAGGGCTGGCTAAGCAGGGCTCACTAGGTTGCCCAGTCTGGAATTTCAGGACTGCTTATCCTCCTGCCTCAGCCTCCCAAAACCTGGGAATGCAGGTACAGGCTGAACACCAGGCCAATATTTGCTTTATCTTCTGGAACATACACATGATGTTAATCATAGTGCCTAATAGCCCAAAAATAGCAAATAATCCTAAAAGCTATTATCAGCAGAATATATTCTTTTCTTTAGAATAGATCAGTGATGGTGCAGCGAAGGAAAAGATAGATATACGCAAAATATAAATTATATAAACCATATTGAATAAAAAAAGACACCAACAGGATACAGACTCTATTTACAAGGTATTAGATAATTGTAGACAGTATAAATACATGTGAATGAGATATGATAGCTAGGCCAGTCCATGTGCATTAGTCGTGATCCATGTGATTTCTGGAAGACATGAGAGGGCATGGGAGGGTTTAGGAGCCTTTCTGGCGAGGCTTTTATTTTACCTGGGAGCCAGCCAGCCAAGCGGAGATCTGTGAGAAGGGAGAGACTCAGGGGAAGTACGAGGAAGAGCGTTCATGGCTCGCGACCGGGGCGACCCTTCACCGTCGGGAGGCAGCGCTCAGCCTGGCCCAACGTGGAGCAGGAGCAACGGCGTGGCCCGTGGACCCCGCCTCGCAGGCAACTCACAGCCGGACTGGGCCACGCTTCCAGAAGAGGCAGGAATCGGCGAATCGTTTCTCTCCAATAGAAAAGGAAAGTAAAGCTGGCGGACCAATAGGTCAAAGCCGAGAATGACACCCGTCACGCGCCTGCTGCCAATCGGCTAGAGCAGCGAGCGGCGGGGTTGGGTCGCTGCGGTCCCTTGACAGGCAGTATGGCGGGCGGGGGCTCGGAAGTGCTCACCCTGCAGCCAGCACTTTGCCGGCTTCGTGGGCGCGCGACTGCGGAACCAGCAGGTGAGGTCGGCCGGCGCAGCTGCCCTCGGAGGAGCCTTCGGGATCTTACAGTCCTGATGTTCAGCCGGCCTCGCCCCGTCCTCTCTGGGTTTCGGTGACGCTGCGCTGGGCCGAGCAACTGATGCCAAGGAGTCGCCGGGAGAGCTGTGCCTGGATGGTCTGTACCGTACGGGGCCGGACGCTGTACGGCCAGGATACCTACACGCCATGACTCATCCTCATGGATCTGAAGGGTGAGGTGGGTGGGCAGCATCAGCCCGTGTTTCCTCTCCGCGAGCTGAGTCCTGCGCGCGTATCTTCAAGACCTCACCTTACCGAGCTCCAGACCGAGGATGAGCTGAGCACAGCATGCTGCACTCCGAGAGGCGAGGATTTGGCAAAACTTTATTTTGCTCAAGAGCCATCTCGGGAATAGGCTGCTAGGCCCTAGAGACAGAGGACTTAACTACAGCACTTTGGTCGACCCTTTGGATGTGGAAAGAAAGTGGCCTCTGCTCACAGCTAATGACTAAGCTGAGAACGGAAACAGGAATCAGGATTCTCCGAGGGCTGCCCCTGCCCGAACTAGTGTATATCCCAGAAAGCTTCTGAAGAGCCAAGTGCTGAGAGATGGTGAGCAGCAGGTTGTCAGGTGATGAGAGGAAGGTTGGCTAGACCGGGAGGGTGCCCCAGGCTTTGACCTAGTTTTGCCCTGTTATTTCTGTACAGGTAGTTTGAGCTCCCTAAAGGGGAAGTGGTGACTCTATAGGACAAACAGTTGGATGCTGCAATAGCATGGTGTGTAAATTTCAATGTGGATAAGGGTGGGGAACATGTATGTACATAGAACGCATAAGAACTCATCAGAGTGCGGTTTCTTTGATCAATCTCCAATCTTTTTCAGGCAGGGAAGCCTACCACACACAAAGAGGAACTCTGTCCCAAGAACCCTATTCTGTGACTTTTGAGCAGAGGTGAGGGCTCTGCCCTGAACTTTAACCCAGTGCTGGTTAACCCGTGGGCTCATAGGGGCAGGTAAAAGGGAATTTTGTTCATTTTAAATGTCCTAGAATGATATTTTGGGAAAAGCACTTCTTTTCCTAAGGACTACGACGCGGTGAAGCAGAAAGGAGGTTGTGCGGTGGCCAGCCAACCTGCTAGAAGGATGAACCAACCTTACCTCTAAACTGCCCGAACTAAATGTAGATTTTTTTCAATTTCTCCCAGGGAGAGTTGAGTAGTGATGGTGTTTGGAGGGTCAAATCCATTCCCAATGGCAAAGGTGAGACTTCTCCAGATACTGATGGATGCGGTCTGGGACAGAAACATGAGAAAGGTACATTTCCTCTGCTTGTCTTCAGGTTCCCACCACTCACCACCGCCATAACTCCAAACCACTTATCCTCACAGAGGCCAGCATCAGGGTCTGGTCAGACTTCCTCAGAGTCCATCTCCATCCCCGGAGCATCTGTATGATTCAGAAGTACAACCATGTGGGACTCAGAGGCTGTGAGGCAAGAAACGCGGTACCTACCAATGCAGGATGAGGTTTGAGGTTATCTTCTGCGCCTCCCAGACAAGAGGTTGAGGAGCTGAGGGAAGAGATGTAAGTCTTGGATTGTGTTTACTTGTGGCAGGGAAGCAGGTCGGGTTGGAAGCTTTGGCCAAGGGGAAAGTGTCCTAAAGGAACCTGGCAATTAGAAGAGCTGGAGGACAGGCTGCACTCTACGTGAGGAATGTGACTACTTGCAGGTAGCGGCGTGGCAACGTGCACTCCAGGTAGAAGCTCTTCTTATCCTACTCATTTTCATCACTCACTCGCCTCAGGGCTTCCTGTGATCCTGTGTGACCTGCACGATGGCTTCTCTGGGGTAGGCGCGAAGGCGGCAGAGAGCTGCTACAAGATGAATATTCAGGCGGAATAATAACGGGGCCTGCTACCTGGTCTCTACCATCGGGGTGAGAGTGGAACTGGGAGGAGTAAGCAGTCACACGGGTGGGAGGGAGAAATGAGAATCCCAGGGGAGAGTTGCTGCACGTAACCACTTTTCTCTTCACCAGAGGCCCAGAGAAACATCTATCGTCTATTAAACACAGCTTTGGTCTCAGACACCTGACTGCTCACAGCTCTCCTGCCTGTCCCTGTCGCTGGGTGGGAGCCTGGCCCGCGACCTGAGCCACCTGTCAACTTCCCCTTACCTGCATTAATGGCTGGTCTCGGTGCTCGCTCTGACTGCAGCAGGCGCGGGCCTCCTTACACCCCAGTCAGCCGCTGTCTGTTACTGGCTCTGTTCCTGAGGCCCGAGCTTGAACTCAGCTGTGATGTGGCCTCTCAGCTCACACTGTCCTATGCTCCTATAGTTTGTTCAGCCAGAGGCTGAAGATACCCTGCTTTGTCCCCTGGATCTTTCTGTGTTAACATTCTGCCTACACATTTCTTTTCAGGCCTGAGGCCAAGGGCCCTCTCTGTGTCTTCATATAGCTACTCTGCTCCTTCCACTGCAGTGCCATCCCACAGCCCTGACACAGTCACTGTTCCTTATCGCCTGTGTTCCTCTCCAGTTTCCATGGTTCATCTGGCTGACATGCTGAGCTTCTGTGGGAAAAAGGTATGAAGCTTTGTGAGGGGTTGGGTCAGTGCTGAGAAAACGTCCTCTAACGTGTTCTTCTTCTTCTCTTTAGGTGGTGACAGCAGGAGCAACCATTCCTTTCCCCTTGGCTCCAGGCCACGCTTCCTGATTCCCTGATGCAGCTCTGGGAGGAGCCACCCCATGGACCCACTGTCTGCATGTGGGGAGTTCTCTGAACACGCTGCTTGCCCAGTCAGTGGTGCTGAGGAGCAGATAGAGCATGCCACACGAGGTGAGAGCTGCTGGTCCTTAGGAGCCCCTTGTCAGATTTTTCATATCCTTTTCCCCAATTTCTCAGGGACATTCTAATGATATCGTTCCCTCCCACCCTTAAAAAGGAAGCAAAAGAAATTTTTTTTTTGGATCCAGCTGATGGCCTGAAAACATAAGAATTCTTAGTTTCTTATTCATGCTGCCACAGCCTAATGGTGGTTTTGGCTTTGTTCTGGCAGCCAGCTCACCCCAGGGACACCTCCACCCTCCTCCCTTCACGCACAACCATCAAAGAAGCCCTGGCCCAGCATTTACAAATGTAAGCGTTGCAGCCCAGAGCCAAGGAGGTCAGCAAACCTGTTTGCCCCGCCCTTCTTGCCAACCTCAACCTCCTAGATTTCTATTGGGCGGAAGGCTTGAGCCTCTGCTCCCACAGTTCTTCCCTATCTGCTGACTCCCTGCAGGGTGGCTCCTCCTTACCCACACCTCTTCTCAAGCTGCAGTCCACAGGGCATGGTTCTGGATGGTTCCCAAGGAGCAGGTAGGTAGGAGGAAGAAAACTGAGATTTCAAGTATAGGAGAGTTTTTATTTATCTCCGTTCCTGGATTAAAAGTGCTGAAAAAGTCCAGTTAAACATTCTTCTTTTATTCAATTCATGGCTCCCAAGAAAAGCATTCTTCCTCTGGAGTATTGGTGTACTAAGGGGACAGTACACCAAATTTGTTGAGTTTACAATCAAGTCTACTAAGGTTGACTTCCTTATCAGCTCTGATGGAGTCCCAGGGCAGAATAATCATCCATCTACAGGTCTCTCTCTTTCCTCCACAGCAGTGAGCATCCAGTGTTTGGGGCACTGTGTTCCTCGCCCCTGTACCAGACCCTGAAGCCTTGGCCAGAGACCCTACCAAACTCGACTTGCGCTTGGGCCAGCTTCTATGGGATGCTGGAGGAGCACGATGACGCAGCAGAGCTCTGCAGAGCCAGGCAAAGCCTGGCCCAGTGCTACCAGGGTGGTGACAGCTCGTGGACTAAAGTTCCCAGCGTGGAGAGGAGCCAGTGTGCAATAAAAACAGTTGGATGCAGGAGCCCAGTGTCTTCGTGCAGAGGAGCTCAATGTCGAGGACTAGCTACACAATATATGCACTTTTTACATTTTAGAAACACTGTGATTAGACCAGAACAATAAATATGTGCCAACAGACTAAAAAAAAAAAGTAGAGAAAGGAGCTGAGCTCCACTCTCACTCGATGCTATTTACAGAGGAGATCTGTAAGGTCTTCATAAAAGACCTTGAATGGTGCCTAGGATGGCAGAGCCCCTGGGCTCCTACTCCATCCTCCAGCCTTTGTCCTCATTCCTGGGCTCCTCTCCCGGTCTGTAAACTGGCCGCATGACTGTACAAGCAGAGTACAACTACCTCCTGCCTAATGACAGGTGCACCTGCTGGGTTTGGTCTCAGCAGATGATACTCAAGTATTCCCAGAGTCTCATTCATCCAGCTCCTCTTCAGACAGAAGGTCCCCACGGTCAGACAGCTGGTCTGCATTGCTGGTACTGGTTGTATCATCCTCATCCTCAGAGCTGGCTTCGCAGGCAGTGTGGAAGAGCTGCATGAGTCTCAAACGGGAGACTTCAAAAAGGTGAAGGCTGTATTCATGATCCTTAGTAACATGTTAACATTTATGAAGCACTATATATTGATTTGCAGAATCTTTATGTATTCAACACAAGGTTGGGAGAGAGGCTGCTGGCTATAGCTAGTTAGAAACTCAAGAGGCTAAATGTTTTGTCCAAAGTCACACGCCTCCTAAAAACAGAATTAGAATGGCCGGCACAGTGGCTCACACCTGTAATCCCAGCACTTTGGGAGGCCGAGGAGGCTGGATCACTTGAGGTCAGGAGTTCGAGACCAGCCTGGGCCAACATGGTGAAACCCTGTCTCTACTAAAAATACAAAAATTGGTCGGGTGGCGGGCGCCTGTAATCCCAGCCATTCGGGAGGCTGAGGCAGGAGAAATTGCTGGGACTCCGGGAGGCAGAGGTTGCAGTGAGCTGAGATCATGCCAGCACTCCAGCCTGGGCGACAGAGCAGACCCGGCTCAAAAAAAAAAAAGAGAGTTAGAATGAAACTGGTCATAGGAAGGACAAAAATGCAGTGTCCTTTCTCCTCTCCTAGAACCACTACCACCCTGATGAGTCAAGCCTTTCCTTAGATCAGACCTTTACAAAATCCACTTACTGTCTTGATGTGAAAGCCTTTCTTTGGCCTTCATCTCTTTGCTGCCACCTGTCCTTTTACTTGGCCCTTCACCCCCACTCCCACTTACCTCAGTAGGTGTCTTATTTCCCAGCCAAGGAGATGATGCTGAAGGTCTGTGGCTGTGCCTTGCTCCTGGCAAGACAGAGATCACGGTCAGCTTCCTGTAATCCAGGTATCATGATTAATCCTAGAGCCAAGCATGGATGTGGCTCCAGCTCTTTCCAAACACACATTATCCAATTTTTACCTGCCCGTGGTTCACAGGACAACCTTTCCAGTGGAGCTGGACCTTTGCTGTTGTTGGCACACACTGTAGCTTCTTGTGGCCTTTGGCTGCTGCTCCCCTCTGACCTCTTGCCCTGTGTTCCATCATGGTCTTTAGACAAACTCTAGGGCTTTGGGAGAAGCCTCTGACGTGTCAGTTCCCTGATGGAGATTCATGGACAGGGATGTCCTGTCTCTTTGTCTTCACCCTACCTCTCGCTTGAGGGCAGCCATCTCTTGGAGTGTCTGGTTTCCGGACACATGTCTTCTCCCTGCATCTCTGGTCTCCTGAGAACAGGACTCAGGCTGAAGCATGGGGTTCCACGGTACCAGGCAATTGCCTGCTTCTGATGCATCCCAGACTACTGCAAAGCTTCTGACCTACCCACTGCCTTTTGGCCCTCCCTCTCTTTCTGAAGTCTGGGGGATGCCTTGGGGCAGGAGAGAACCTCAGGCCCAACCTGGTTTTTCTTAACAGTGTACAGTACAGCCCATATTTTGGGGGAAATTGAGGAGTCTCTGTGAATGAGGTGGTGGGCCATCCAGGAGGAGCCGTTTCAAAGAGCTACTCGAGGGGACAAAGTGCTCCCCACTGGGCAACCCTGCTTAGAGGAGTAAGATCCAGGGTACTGTCAGGATCAAGATGCACCTACACGAGAAATTACCACAGTCACTGTGGCCAGGTACTGCACTAACATGTGAGGCCGGGCATGGGGGCTCACACCTATAATGCCTGCACTTTGGGAAGCCAAAGTGGTGGATCGGGCTTGAGGCCAGGAGTTTGAGACTACTGGGCACATGGTGAGATCCTATCACTACAAAAAATTATAAATAATAAAAGAGTTGGGTGGAGGTGGGGGCATAATGTCACTTATGCAAAGATATAAAGTCCACTACAAAGCTGAGAATGGCCCAGTCTTTACTTTTATGTAGATTATAGTAGATTTGGAGATAAAGGTTTTAGGAATGGAAAGAAAAGCAATGTTGAATCGCTGTGAAATTTGTGCATCTTTAATTCTGGTAAGAGGAGTGAGGCTACAGGACAGAAAAAGCCTGAATAGGAGAAGGGCTTCCTATGGGTACATCAGTGAAAGAGGTGGTATATCCATCCCTGAAAAGGCTATTTATCCAGGCTCATGGAGGTTCCTGTCTGGAGCAGGAGAATGAGACAGGAGCAGAAGGTTGGCTGGCGACCACCTGAAACAGGCATCTCTTCTCTGGTATCCTGACAGTCCTGCTCTGGGTAGCGCCAGTGCTCTCCCGCTCCTCTGGGGCTTCTCTTCGCTTGCATCTTGCCTCTGCCTAGCTTCCTTTAGTTCCAGGTATAGGACTAGTTTCTCGGTGGCTGCCTACCAACTCATGGGGCTCCTTGCTCTTGTAGGATTTGCTGTCACAGACCTGCAGGGATGGTCTACTGGGTCAAAGGTGTCCTTGACCGCCTATGTCTTTGATTGGGGCCTACTGTGCCACAAACCCTCACCAGCTCACTAAGTCAACCCACACATGTCTGCTCCAACACCTTTGTTGACAGGGTTTCAACTGGGTGCAGTGGTACATGCCTATAAACCTAGCTACTTGGGAGGCTAAGGGGTGAGGATCACTTGAGCCTAAGGGTTCAAGAAAGATCAGCCTGGGCAACATAGCAGAGACTCTCTCAAATGACAACAAAAAGAAAAGATAGACAGGGTCTCAGATGACACAGATTATCTTGCCTAGGCTGGAGTGCAGTGGCTGTTTACACAGGCATGACCATGGTGGCACGATAGGCCCAGACTCCCTGGGCTCCAGCAAGATCTCCCAGCTGAGCCTCCGGAGTCCTCTGTTGCCCAGCTACTCCTCTAAGGATTTGATTTTTTCTTTTTAAAACACGGCCTCACTGCTGTCACCCAGGCTGGAGCTCAGTGCATCATCATGGTTCACTGCAACCTCTGCCTCCTGCTCCAAGGATTTTAAATTGCCCAGACAGAGTATTGGATTCCACAACTCCTCTTACTAAGAACTGTGTTTTTTTCTGCCAAACTAACCTACTCTAGAGAACCAGGATTACTTGTATAGAATTATTTTCATGACAGAGGTTTATTTCATTTTCTAATATCTGAGGGAAATATTTTAACTGGTATTTTGTTTTTCCAATTCCAAAAGTTTTACTCACAGAATTCTCCTTAAAAAACAAAATCACGTATTTGTAGCAGATTCCATTTATTTTGCATACGTACACATATGTGTGTACTAACTGTTTTATATATATATATATATATATATATATATATATACCTTGTGAATTCAGTAAGGTACAATTCTTGGTAGCAAACAATGCCCCAGCAGCTCTGATACCCTTGGGACCAGTACCGATATTTTCCTCACCTTGCTGCTACAGTGGCTACAGCTCCGCCTTTTGCTCTTCTTCAACTTGGAATCTGACCTCTTCGTGGCAGGAGCAGGCACAGTCCTTCGTCCCATCTGGCCACCTAGTCTCCCTAGGAGATACTTGGCTTGATTAGCTACTGTTTTTTTTTTTTTTTAGTAGATAGAGTCTCACTCTGTGGCCCAGGCTGGAGTGCAGTGGCACGTATATTAGCTCACCACAACCTCCGCCTCCCTGGTTCAAGCGATTCTCCTGCCTCGGCCTCCCGAGTAGCTGGGATTACAGGCGCGCATTTCCACCACACTGCCAATTTTTGTATTTTTGTAGAGACAGCTTTCACTCATGTTGGTCAGGCTGGTCTCAACTCCTGACCTCGTGATCTGCCCCTCAGAGTCCCAAAGTGTTAGGATTACAGGCATGAGCCACCATGCCTGGCCACATTTTGGTAACAAGAAAGGAAGCTAAAGTTGTGAGCCATATGAGCACAACACAGCCCACCCTCTCCCCATGTCTTTTTTTCTTTTGAGACAGGGTCCGGTCCTGTCACCCAGGCTAGAGTGCAGTGTCACATTCATGGCTCACTGCAACCTCTGCCTCCTGGGCTCAAGTGATTTTCCCACCTCAGCCTTCCAAGTAGCTGGGACTGCGCACACCCACGCCTAGCGCTAATTATTATTATTATTATTTTTGTTTGAGACAGAGTCTCAAGCCTTCTGCCAGGCTGAGGCAGTGGTGTGAGCTCAGCTCAGCAACCTCCGCCTCCTGGGATCAAGCGATTCCTGTGCCCCAGCCTCCCAAGTAGCTGGGATTACAGGTGCATGCCACCACGCCCATCTAATTTTTGTATTTTTAGTGGAGATGGGATTTCGCCTATGTTGACCAGGCTGGCTTCAAACTCCTGACCTCAAGTAATCCAATTCGCCTTGAGTCTTGCAAAGTGCTGGGATTACAGGCGTAAGCCACAGCACCTAGCCTATGGTGAATTTTTGTATTTTCAGTAGAGACAGGACCACATCTTACTCTGGCTGGGCCTTGAACTCCTTACCTCATGATCCACCCACCTTGACTCCCAAAAATGTTGGGATTACAGGCATGAGCTACCACCCTGGACTTCTTCCTTTATGTATCAACTTCTCACATTGCCTGGGGACATCAATAGCCCGAACTAGATTAAGGTCTATTATGAATCCCTGAAACAATCCCTAAATGACCTAAAGACTGACATACCCCAATTGCCCCAGATGTTTCAAGAAATATTTGTCAGACAAAATCTGAGGCAAAGTCACTGAGACTCCATCATGAGACATCTTTGTTTCTGTCTCTCTGTGCCTTCAGCTCTCCCATCTCTTCCAGTCCCCTTGAGAACTTTGTACGCATGGAAGGCCCACTCAATGATACTCTGTTTAATAAACCCAAGACATAAGTACCATTATAATCCCAATTTATGATGAAGAAACCGAAACAAAGAGAGGTTAAATGTTTCAAGGTCATA